CAAAAAAAAAAAAAAAAAAAATCAACACCTGTTGATTATTATGAACAATAATCCTGTTCATAGCAGGATTATTCATAATTGCCAAAAGGTGGAAGTAACCCAAGTGTCTGTCAGTGGAAAGATAGATAAACAAAATATGGTATGTACATACAATGGCATAGTACTCAGTATTAAAAAGGAAGGAAATTCTGACACATGCTACAAATGGATGAACCTTGAAGACATTAATTATGCTAAGTGAAAGAAGCTGGTCACAAAAGGATACATTTTACATGATTCTTCTTATCTGAGGCCTAGAGTAATCAAATTCATAGAGACACAAAGTAGAATGGAGGTTGCCAAGGGCTGGGAGGAGGGGGAAATGGGAAATTAGTGTTTAATTGGTACAGAACCTATTCTTTTTTGAGTTTTATACCTTATTTTCTATCAGAAGATGGAAAGTTACTTAAAACATCCAAAAATTTTAATTTTCAGATTATTAAAATGGATTGGTTTAAATGATACAACACTCGACTATAATGGAGAGATAATAATTTGAGAAATGTTAATATTTTCATAGACTCTTAAATTTCCCTTTAGTTATGTTGCTAAGTTTTAAGATGAGTAATCAAAAAACATACTTGAAAAATTTTAGTGTTTTGAATGGATTTTTCTCTACATCCATCCCCCAAATCAGCATTTCATTAGAGCCTAAATTCAAGGTAGTTGGACTTCTAGTGTTCTATAATTGATCATAAAGTTATTCATAGTCACTGGCACTTTAGTTGTTATGGTATTTCAGAGTTTAATGATTAAAACTAGCTGTGTATAACTAAGAATTATATTAAAAGTGATAACATTCAGAAGAATTAAGTTGTGATGGCCTGCACTACGTACCAATGAAGTACAGACATGATTAAATATCATTAGGTTCCATCAGTACCAGTAATATGTGGTTCCTTATGATAAATGATCCATGTTTAGAATTCAGCAAGTGTGTGTGTTTTCTGTTTTGGGGTTTGTTTTAATGCTCTCATTAATATGTACTTGGTGTTTTGTTTTCAGAAGGGGACCATCTGGACCAAGATTTGGACCTAGAAATGAAAAAATTAAGCAGTAAGTTTGTGAGACGCTCATTTGTTTAAATGATTATCATATTTCTACAAGGACCAGGGGTTGGCAAACTACAGCATATGAGCCAAATCTGGCTGCCACCTGTTTTTGTAAAGTTTTATTGAAACACAGCCATTCCTATTATCTGTTGGCTGCTTTCAAACTACAGTGACAGATTTGAGTAGTTGTGACAGAGACCTTATGGCCCACAAAATCTAAACTCTCTATTATCTGTCTGGCCCTTTACAGAAAAATTTGCTGAGCCTTGATGTAGACTAATATTACTACTAGGTTGTAAAAACCCAGTCATTCTTTTCATTTTCACAAAGTTACCTCTTAATTATAGCTAAGGAGATGCAATTCCTGGTTGTTGGTTTTCTTAATTTAATTATTATATATCAAATTCATTTATTTAGCATAATCTCAAGGTCTATTTTGGTTTTAAATCTATAGCTTGATTCACATTTTCAGCATGATAATAAAAGTAATATAATAGATTTAGTTTTCTGAAGTACAGTATCTTATGTACTTCCAGAATTTGTTCATATCTATTACTTATCCTAATCCATTTATTGATCTAAGTTTTATGGCTCATTAATTTTCAGTTTAGAGCTTTTCTGTATATATTGTTGATGGAAGCTGGTGGATAATGCTGTAGTGAGTGTATCTAACATTAGAATCATGAGTCCTGGCAAGAAGGGAGAAGGAATGAATGGAGCAGTGAAATAGGCCTGGAAACTTACCGAGCTATAAAAGATAAACTGGAAGATAAACTGAATGGCCCAGGTTCAGGATCTAAGGAGGGGTAGTTGCTACCCTAAGTCTGGATATAGATGGCACATAGTGGGAAGGGTACTGTAATGGGATATCAAGTTATTGATGAGGGACTTTCCTGGTGGTCCAGTGGTTAAGACTCCACGCTTCCACTGCAGGAAGCATGGGTTCGATCCCTGTTGGGGGAACTAAGATCCCGCATGCTGCGCGATGTGACAAAAATAAATAAATAAATAATAAACCACAGTTTAAAAAAGAAAAAAGTTATTGATTAGATACTTGGGCTTTAGTCAGGTAGTGGTTGTTGTGAAGAAATAGGTCCACACTTAGCTTGATCCTAGCTAATGGATTCTGTAATACAGAATCAAGGTACCAACAAATTGATTTGACTACTAAATGGGATGTATTCATTTTCTATTGCTGTATAACAAGTTACCCTGAACCTAGCAGCCTAAAACAGCAAACATTCATCATCTCACATTTTCCATTGGGTCAGGCATTCAGTCACTGCTTAGGTGGGCCCTCTGCAGGGTCTCACAAGGCTGAAATTGAGGTGTCACCAGGGCTTTGATCTCATCTGAAGCTCCTGAGTAAGCTCAGGTAGTTGTTGACAGGATGCACTTCCTTGCACCTGTACAACCCACAGTGCTTGCTTCTTCAAGGCCAGCAGAAGAGAGAGTCTCTGCTGCTTCAAGTGTCTGATTCAGCCAGTAAAGATACAATGAGCCACTTAGATTCAGTTTATTACTTACATAGATTGTCAAAGGAAGAGTAGCCAAAGGTGCCAGCTCCCTAGGTTCTTGTCCTAAACACCAAAAATGATGATACCAAAATAGAAGGGTCCGGGTGGCTGCAGTATGAATAGTGAGATGCCCTATTACAAAGGAGCCAATTCTCGCCTGCAGCTAAGTGGTTTTATAGTCTGCAGGTATATCCTGCAGAAAGCCTTATGTGTCATCAGAACCTGGGAGGTGATAAGAAACTGTCTCATGACAGTCTCCTAGGGGAGATGGGGAGGTGAGTGGGAGATGGCCTCAGAAGCCACTCATCCTCATCTTTGGAAGGATCACAAGGCATTCAAGGTTGCGAGGATGCCATGGCAGAGCCATTGCCCTTCTCTGAGCCAGAGTGACTTCTCTATCCACCCACATATATACCTCAGCTGCCGCAGGAGAAGAGGACTCCACTGATGACACACCTGTTTTTTCCCTGCCAATGTGCTTCATTTCCTGTCTGACATCCTTCTGCAGAGTGAGCCTGGTACTGAGTGTGGCCCAGTGAGTCTTTTTGAGTATGACTTTCCAGCTGACGCCAAAACCAGTACCAGTTGTACAGAGTGGGCATTGCAGGATATGTCTATGTTAGTAAGTGCCAAGCACACATGCACGTGAATGTGTATATGTGCATATTAAATTACCATAATAACGTTGGTGATCACAGAGTTTTAGAACAGTAAGGCACTCTTGAGGAAGTGTAATGACTTACTCTAGAGCTGAAGGCTTATCATACGTACTCAGAAGGTGGTCAGTCATCAAAACACACAAATTAACCCTTGGCACAACCCCATGAGTGTTTATCTAACCAGGGCACCACTCAGGCATGTGCCCAAAGTGGCCCCAAATGGTGGAGCACAACCTGCCACACTACTTGCCCAAGGACAGATTCCTGGCATTTGTTTAGTAACTGAAATTGGGAGCACTGGTGAGTTTCTTTAAGGTGTGTTGTCACTGCTTAATGTGTAATGTTACCATACAGGGTGTTTTTTTGATGTGTGGATCAGCAACATTGTTTGCTTTGTCTGCATTTGATTGACATGTTGATAACAGATTAATCCCACAAAAATGCCCAGTGTCACTTTTTTTTAAATTGATGTATAAGTTGATTTACAATGTTTAATTTCAGGTGTACAGCAGAGTGATTCAGTTTATATATATATATATATATATATATATATATATATATATACTTTTTCAGATTCTTTTCCATTATAGGTTGTTACAAGATATTGAATATAGTTCCCTGTGCTGATACAGTAGGTCCTTTTATTGGGTTCTTTAGTATTCCAATGTCACTTTTCAGGGAAGATTTTTGGAAAAGATTTTAAATAGTCACATGCCTATATAAAAAATTTATGATTCTCTTTGGAGTGTTTCCTTTGCTTTTAAATTAAATAGTAGCACTATAAATGCCACTCCAGTGAATTGTAGACATACTCTGCCACAAGTAGAAAATCTCCTATCTATAGCCTTGGTCCAACAAGTTTAACTTTATTCCCCCAAGGAATGTTCCATGATGAACAGATACATATATATACACATATATATGTATATATGTACATATATACATATATATGTATATATAATTGCAAAAATATAGCATATATACTACATATAGTATATATGTATATGTGTGTGTGTATATATATATATATATATATATATATATATATATATATATATTTGCAAAAATACAGCATATATTTAAAACTTTTTTTGTCAACAGTACCTTAAGAGGCCACAAGATGGGGGTGTTAACTGTGAAAATAAATATTTTCTTTATAAAATAACAGATGAGTGTGTGTTGCAGAGCATGAGCTTTTTTTTCCCTTAATGGAAGAACACTGACATTAAACACATGCTAAGTGTTAGGAACCGTGCTAAGTGTTTAAAACACACTTGTCACATCTAATTCTCATAAGGGAAAGATTATCATCTTCATTTCAAAGGTGAGAAAATATGAAGCTCAAAGAGGCTTGCAAAATGACTTGCAAAGCCACATACATAGTAAGTGATAACGCTGAATTGCAAACCCAGATCTGTCTGTGTCCAGAGCCTGGCCTCTCTACACTATACCACGTGGCTTCCCTGTAGTGGTGATAATTAGATTAGAGACATCTCAGGAACACAAGTGCTGTCAGACTCTAAGGAGGATTTAAAACAATGTTAAGGGCTTCCCTGGTGGTGCAGTGGTTGAGAATCTGCCTGCTAATGCAGGAGACATGGGTTCGAGCCCTGGTCTGGGAGGATCCCACATGCCGCGGAGCAACTAGGCCCGTGAGCCACAACTACTGAGCCTGCACGTCTGGAGCCTGTGCTCTGCAACAAGAGAGGCCACGATAGTGAGAGGCTCGCGCACCGCGATAAAGAGTGGCCCCCGCTTGCCACAACTAGAGGAAGCACTCGCACAGAAACGAAGACCCAACACAGCAAAAATAAATAAATAAATTACTAAAACAATGTTAAAATGTCTTTTCTCTACATGTCTTGATATTTTCCTGGGTATGTTCTCTCTTGTGTCCTTTCTTCTACTATATGACTCTAACAGGAAATGATATGAATCTCCACCCCCTCCTTCAAAAACTTGCTTTTTCTTTGAGTCCTTAATTTTCTATTTCAGTTAATGACCATCATCTACATCTACTCAGTTGCTCAAATTATAAATCTAGAAGTTCTCTACCCTTTTCTTGTCCCAGCTCCACCACCCATATCCAGGTAATCATTGGTTCCTGAAATATCCCCTCTTATTCCTTTAGCCTAGAACTTTTTTTACTAGAACTTTTTTCACCTTTTTTACTCTGCCCAATTCACTCTTAACCTCTCAAAACTCAGCACTAGGATCTTGATGCCATCTCTGGTCCAGGCTGGATTCATCACGACTGATACTGTGTGCTTCCTTCCATTATGGCACTTGACATATGGTAATATAATCCTAGCTACCAGTGTTCCCCACTAGACTGTAATCTTGCTGAGGATCAAAACATTCACATCAGTATCCTCAATGCATAGCATAATAATAACTCCTTAATATACATTTTTGAATACATGAAATAATTCAGATCAGAAAATATTTGTTGAATGCCTGTTTACTACTAGGCACATTTCACATGACCTGGGAAACAGGTGAGTGGGACAATCTCTGTTTTTAAGGCATTTACAGTATAATAGTAAGACCAACATAAAATACAAATAGAAATCAAAGTATTGTAACTGCTATGAAAATGTAAAAAATCATGGGGAAATATGTTTTCACTTTTTAAAAATTTATTTATTTATTTATTTGGCTGTGCCGGGTCTCAGTTGCGTCATGTGGGATCTTCATTGTCACATGCAGGATCTTTAGTTGCACCTTGCTGGATCTTCGGTTGTGGCATGCGGGATCTAGTTCCCTGACCAGGGATTGAACCTGGGCCCCCTGCATTGGGAGCGTGGAGTCTTAACCACTGGACCACCAGGGAGGTCCCTTTCCACTTGTTTTTTTAAAAATTATCCTTTATATTAAAGTAAATAAGTAGATGATTTTCTTTTCTTTTTTTTTTTTTAAAAGGTTGTGTTCTGGGCATGAAAATATCTTGAAATATAGAAGCACAGTCATGAGATTTTCCGTTATCTTAAGATTGAATGAGAGTTATACAGTAGCTGGATTAAGAAGGTTATACCAGTGGATAGTAATATGTGAAGGAGAAAGTAACAATAATTTATTAATCACTTGGCAGGAAAAATTAAAATGTTGGGTGGTTTCCATTAGCCATAGAGGTTACATGTGTGTCATGTTGTTGAGGTAATACCCCTAGGTTTATCATAATCTAGTAAGACTTAATCTGTAATTTTATGAATTCTATTCCAATTAATCTGCCTGTATTATCCATGGAGTCTTTTGCTTATAGGGATTCTGGGACCATAACGATTCCTTCAGTTATTTTGGTTTTGTTTTAAAATCACATGTAGTATAGGTATATTAATATCCATAATAGCTATAATCTGATTATGTGTAGGTGCTGCCGTACATTCTGTCCATTTCCATCGTGTTGCACCTTACTTTAGCCTATTATCTCTTGCATATGATGGAAAATAACTACCTAGGAATTTCAAGATTGGCCCTTGATAAACAATAGCTCTGCTTCCGTTATAGTTAAATGGTGACCTACCTCTACATTCTTATATCTGCCTTATAACTCTTTCTCAGGTAGCTGGATGTGCTTTGCAGGACTTAAACTGTTCACTTATTCAGCTGTTAAGTATTAAGTGCATACTCTTTTCCAAGCAGTGTTACAGGTACTGGGGCTACAAAAGTGAACAAAGTAGGCAAGGTCTCTGTATTTGTTGAACTTACCTTCTAGTGGGGAGAGACAGGAAATAAGCATGTAAATAAATAAATACTTTCGCTTAGTGTTAAATGCTGTAAACAATATAGAGTAATGGGTTAGACACAGACTGTTACACAACTCTGAAGGTTAATGAAGTGCATTCATTGCACATTTAAGCATACGTTCCATTTAAGCATACGTTCCATTAACTCTGAAGGTTAATGAAGTGTATTCATTGCACATTTAAGCATACGTTCCATGAGAGCCGGAATTATTGTCTGCTTCGTTCAGTATTGTTTTCCTAGTGCCTAGAACAGTACATAGTAAGCTCTTCTTAATTATTTATTGAATAAATTGCTTAAGTATCTGTGCCATTGTTCTTGTATAAGATTTTACATCTTTAGCTGTCTGCTTAGGAGTTGCAACAAGACCTCTTAGACACGTGGGGGCTCTTTCAGATCTGTGTGGGCAGAAGGGAATTCTCCATGTCCCACTTTAGTTGTGCTTCAGTTTTATACCGTTCAGTAGAATACTGTGTGAGAGGCACAGAACTCTAGGAAGCTATGATGAACCCTCAAGTCTATGTGTGGATAATCAGTGGGTGCTTTTAACATGGGAGGGGGGGTGACTATCATCAAACATAGTAATTCTACTTGAATCTGAGGATGCTTCTTCCGAACCCATATGTGTCTAAATGGGCCTTCATTTTGTTTTTAAAGCAAACTTTTTGAAGATATATCTTCGTGACAGGGAAGGGATAGAACTCTTTTTCAAAATTACACATGTCCTGCCTTACTCCCAACTCACTATAGAGTAGAGGGGCAGCGAGGAGATGTGTATTGTGAATTTTTTAAAAAGGCTTCCTAGGTGATATTTGATAAATTGATACACTTCCCCGACTAGAAAGAACAATTGCATATCCTTATTTATTTAAAACATATATCTACTTATAGTTGCTAGTAATCCACTTTAAACAGTTTTTATATTTTAAACAGTTTTTGAGTTATAAGAACTGTGAGTTCATTTTATTTCTCCTTTTAAATATTTCTCTGGCATGACTTATTCCATAAACTAATTTAAGGTAACATTTTGTCAAATGATTGAAGCAACAGGGGAAAACTAGACATTTGTCAAATGATTGAAGCAACAGAGGAAAACTAGACACTTAATCATTTCTATGTCTGTGTACTCTGGGGGTAACTTCTGAGTGAGAGTAGGCAGCTGAGGTCCAATTATTAAATTTTTGAATTTAGTTTAAATCTTCATTGAACATGGGACTTCCCTGATGGCGCAGTGGTTAAGAATCAGCCTGCCAATGCAGGGGACACGGATTTGAGCCCTGGTCCGGGAAGATCCCACATGCCGCGGAGCAACTAAGCTCGTGCGCCACAACTACTGAGCCCATGCACCTAGAGCCCATGCTCTGCAGCAAGAGAAGCCACCGCAATGAGAAGCCCGCGCACCACAACGAAGAGTATCCCCTGCTCACCGCAACTAGAAAGCCCGCGCGCAGCAACAAAGACCCAACGCAGCCATAAATAAATAAATTTATTTAAAAAAAAAAATCTTCATTGAACAGTCTGAAGTTTGATTGGAACAGGCTCTCATCACCTGATATAAAGAAGAAAATCATATTTTCATTTTGAAGAACAACGAAAAATGTTTCCTCTTTGCTCCTTCATGGGTGCTTCAAAACCCTCCCAAGTGTTGCTCATTGTTTTAAACCCTGTTTAAGAGAAAATTGATGAGCTGTGAAGAGTTATACCCACTGAGCCTTAGTGTCCTAGAGCACACTGTACCTTTCCATTTTGGAAACTGAATATTTTTCATTGGCTTCTAACGTACCTGGGCAAACTCTTTTGTTAGCCTTAGTGTGTGAACTATATGTATAGTAAAAGTAGCTTATAGCTGTGTCTATGTGATGCCTCAGTGGCCTATTGAAAAGAAAATGATTATTTAGAGTCAAGCTATTTAACTAAATTCTGTAGTTACTGAGCATTCTGACAGTATATTTAATTTGAAGAAACAGGGTTAAGAATAAACTATAAGTTAAATATTACTTTATTTGTATCATGTTGTCTTTTAATGGCCTGAGTAATCAAGCCCACAAATGAAAGGACTGTTGCTACAAGGCTTAAACTTAAACATTTTAGAGTTGAATGATTCTGAGAACTTGCTGTTTTCTATCATGTCTAATGAAAGTCTCAAAAACTGTAAAATTCTCAAAAGAAGAATGCATTATTTTTTAATCTTTTTTTTTAAACTAGTGTTCAGAATCAGGTGGATGAAGTCATTGATGTCATGCAAGAAAATATTACAAAGGTAATAGAAAGAGGGGAGAGACTAGATGAACTGCAGGACAAATCAGGTACAGATACTTCATATAATTCTTGATGTTATTAATCTGTATTTTGATAGTTTACTTCTCCCATTTTTCTAGCCAAAGTTTAGGAATCTTGACTTAGGAAAAATGGCATTTATGGTTTTAATGTTTTTAACTTTAGCTCCCTTTATTTTTTTATATACAATTTATTTTATTCAAGTATAGTTGATTTACAATGTTGTGTTTATTTCTACTGTACAGCAAAGTGATTCAGTTATACATATATATATATATATATATATTCTGTTTCATATTCTTTTCCATTATGGTTTATCACAGGATATTGAATATAATTCCCTGTGCTATACAGTAGGACCTTGTTGTTTATTCATTCTGTGTATAATAGTTTGCATCTGCTAATCCCAAACTCCCAATCCATCCTTTCCCCCACCCCGCCACCCCCCACCCTTGGCAACCACAAGTCTGCACCCTATGTCTGTGAGTGTTTCTGTTTGGTAGATATGTTCATTTGTGTCATATTTTAGGTTCCAAATGTAAGTGATATCCTATGATATTTGTCTTTCTCTTTCTGACTTACTTAGTATAATAATCTCTAGGTCCATCCATGTTGCTGCAAATGGCATTATTTCACTCTTTTTTCTGGCAGAGTAGTATTGCATTGTAATAGGTACCACATCTTCTTTATCCATTCATCTGTTGATGAACATTTAAGTTGTTGCTATGTCTTGGCTATTGGAAATAGTGCTGCAGTGAACATTGGGGTGCATGTATCTTTTTCAATTATAGTTTCCTTCAGATATATGCCCGGAAGTGGGATTGCAGCATTATATGGCAACTCTAGTTTGAGTTTTTTGAGGAACCTCCGTACTGTTTTCCACAGTGGCTGCACAATTTACATTCCCACCAACAGTATAGGAGGATTCCCTTTTCTCCACACCCTCTTAAGCATTTGTCATTTGTAGACTTTTTAATGATGGCCATTCTGACCGATACAAGGTGGTACCTCATTGTAGTTTTGATTTGCATTTCTCTAATCATTAGAAATGTTGACTGTCTTTTCATGTGCCTGTTGGCCATCTGTATGTCTTCTTTGGAGAAATGTCTATTTAAGTCTTCTGCCCAGTTTTCGATTGGGTTGTTTGCTTTTTTGTTATTGAGTTGTATGTCGCTCCCTTTGCTTTGAATCATCTTATTGTTGTATTATTTCTTTAATTGATCAGTTGAGAATGGAAAGATTAAAAATTCATTGTTGAAGAGTTAGATTATTTTTTTCTTTTGTCCTGTTATGTAGATGTGCTTTGTATTTCTCCTGATCTCGAGGAGGATAGGTCTAATCACTTCTTTTCAAACTTATTTCACACATATCTAATATTTTTATCTTATGCTTTCTCTGATGACTTAGTAACATTTCTTTACTGACAAATGTTAGTCTCTGTTCTTATAACAGTCCATGGCACTTATTAGGCACTCACATATTTTTTAGATGATGAATGGCTGAATGAATATCTGATTAATCCTTGACAGACTTTTTTAACCAAAAAACTTATTTAAACACTTTAAAAATATATTGTTTTGCTTCAAAATCAGTCACTTTTGATATCTTCTAAGAATCTAGCCTTCTCCATGTGTAAATTTTTTTTTCTATAGTTGTGCCAAGTATTTGAATTTTTAAAGAGTATTTCTACCAGAATTCATAAGTTTATTTGAAAGCATTGAGGCCCTGGGAAGACTTCTCTTACTCTTATTGTAAAAGTGGATTGAGCAAACTGACCTGCAGCCATTTTTTACTTTTTGGTTTTTTTTTTTTTTAGAATACAGAATGCCAGAGTTTGTGGGTAGAGGAAAGGAAGGATGTTGTTTTCATGCTTAAAAGGGAATAGATTTGCAGAAGTAGAAATTAATGTTTTCTTGTCTTTGTGTTAGATAAAAGAATGCTGTTATGTCAATTAATCCTTCTCTCCATCCTCTATGTGATATAGAAAGCCTATCGGATAATGCAACTGCTTTTAGCAACAGATCCAAACAACTTCGAAGGCAGATGTGGTGGCGTGGATGCAAAGTAAGTAAATTGGAAGATATTGGATAGGTCCATCAGCATATCCAGTGGTATTCAAAGACATGAAGAAAAAAGGGCCTCTAGGTAATAAGCTCTGTGGGGAACGGGACTACAGTTGTCTTGCTTATTATTATATCTTCTGAACCTGGGACATGGTGGAACTCAGTAAATATTTGTTGAATTAATATCTTATGGGTCAGAAATAACTAAAGGAATCAAGCAGTGCCTAAAAGGATGTTTTCATGGATTTCTTCGTAGAGAGTAATCCACATTTTATTAATAATTTAGCTTCCTCTAGATTTATCTTGTAAGAAATATTAACTTGTAATTTATTTTTAGTAACTTTTTGGAGCAACCTATAGCATTACATAGAGATATTTAAAAGACAGAAAGCAAGCCAGAGAAAAATATAATTTTCTGTTGGATGGAGAAAAAACTAAAAGCAGTTTAATGTGTCAGAATCCATATGGCAAATGGGGCTAAAAAGAAAATCCCACTGTCCCTCATTATTCCAGAGAAATAAGATACAGTCTTATGCCATACCACCCTCAACCTGCCTGATCTCAGAAGCTAAGCAGGGTCAGACCTGGTTAGTACTTGGATAGGAGAAATAAGATCTAAAAGAAAAATTTGTCATTTTTGGCTTTGTTGAAAACCTTGGATATACCACATTGTTTTTAGTCTCTCATTTTCAAGTTTAGCAGTAACTTTCAAAACTTGATGTTGACATATGCTAAGGATTTCATTCAGGAGTTGCCTTGGATTTGCTTATTTCTGTCGGTTTACCTGTTGAATCCTCTTACTTTCAGAAATAGAACTTAGGGAAA